AGCTAGTCTAGATTGAGGGTCCGTTTGGTTTGAACTTTCCAGTCAGATTTGGAATTGGAATGAAAATCCCTTGAAATTGAAATTAGAATTGGAATGGCCTATTCCCATAGTCTATTTAGTTCAAACATGAATCGAAATGGAATTTGAAATAAGTTGGAATGGGATTCCATTCCCAAGGGAGGGGGATGGCAATCATTCCCTTAAATGGGGACTGCCATTCCACCGGGAATGGGATTTCGATTCCATCTAGCCAAATGGTTGGAATCATAATGGCTCGTTTTGATTTCGATTCCAGACCCCTATTCATGTGAACCAAACAGAACCTGAGTACTTTCCACCCAAGTTGCCAATCCATATTAATTTATCCTTATGTGGCACTCAACCCAATGAGATAGAAGTAATAGCTAATGAAACTTAGCTAAGTCCCATCTACGAGGATTTGACAAAAGCATATTAGCCATATAGTACATCTCACACCTAATAGGCTTAGAGGATTGAACACAATAGTTTGAAAGAGTGTGAACCCATATATCCTCCCAAATAGGTACACGCCTTCCATCACCAATACGCCACATAAGGCCCGGTTTTAGAAGCTCCAAACCATGCGTGATAGATCTCCGGCCCTAGTAAACATGCTAGTTAGACCTCAACTTGTTTGAAGAAGAGAGGAGTTACAAAAAATACACTCTTTATACTCAAATTAGAAAGTGTACAAATACAATTATGCACAATGCAAAGTCTTGTATATTGTATTTCTAAACTACGTATTTGCACTGCACACATTTGTATTTGTACCCTTTCCAAACCGAGCCTTAGTCCCACTCCACAGTTTGCTCTTATCAATGAGGAGTATTTGCTCTCCATTCTGGTTTTAGGAATGGCAACGGGGTGGGGCACCCCCTCCTCGTCCCCACTCCGTCACTGGTGGCGGGGCAGGTGGGGCATCCACTCCCCGGCGGGGACAAAGAATTCTCGAATTTTCCCTTCTCCATGGCAGTTACTTAAAAATTATCCATTTTATGGACAATTTACACATAAGATATAGAAATTTGGGGGTATTTTATGAATTGAATTATAATACCTTAGGAGTAATTCAAAAATAGAATTATGGGATCCTAGGATTTTAAGAATTTAGGGAAACTTAGAAATATTTTAAATATCAATATCAAATCTAGAGATATTTTACTAATTTGCCTTCAAGTTCAGGGCGAGTTTGGGGAATTATATACAAAACCTGTCCCCACCCTGTTTTTCCCTATCCCTGTTTAGGATTGGGGAAAACCCGCCCCCGATTTTACTGGGGAAATTGCCATCCCTAATTTGGCAAACAATGCTTGGTTGAACAAAGTCAACTCCAAAAACCCCAAATCCTTTATGACTTCAACTTACACAATCTTTGCTAATAGTATATTTACATACCTAATTCCCTATCCATTTCTTTTTCAACCTCTCAACTAAATAATCCCTTCCTCCATTCGAGAAATGTTAGTAGGTTGGGTTAACCCAACCTTAATGGGTTAGGGTTGTAATCAACCTTAATTGGGCCTAGAGCTAGGTTCAATTTAAAATCACCCCAAAATTTTTGAAAATTTTGGCAGACGAAAAACCAATAAAGTAACAAAATTGCCCCGGATGGCATCATTAAAATATTTCAAAATACCGAAATCGCCCCTGCTTATCCAATAGGATCCTTTTGTGTGCTTAAGTTTGTATGCGACACCATTATCGTTCATGAACTTCAACCCTCTTGCAATATCAATGGTGATTTTTTTAACAGTATCAATGGAAAAAAAAAGTTTTTCTTGGATATCACATAGTTGTTATGGAGGAAAAAAAACTTTATAGAAATTTTGTAGTATTGTCTATCAAACAAAACAGAGATTTCGAGCTGCAATTTACAGGAAAACCAAACTTACCTAACCATTTAGAAGGAAAGAAGTGAAACAAAGGAAAAGCAAAGTTCCCACTTGTGACAAAACAAAAACTAGCTCCAATCCAGATTGTTCATCATCAATGAAGAAATGTTAAATAACCCACAAACAATATCACAATCAAATAGATAAACACAAACCCAGAGAGCTTAAACAATCAAATAAGAATCACATACTTCTATTACAAACTCAAATTTCCTGAGGAAAATGCTCAAAAGAAAAAAAAAAAAAAAAGAAAGAGAAAGAGAGAAAAATCATGTCTCTAGACGCCTTTAAAAACAACCAACAACACAAATCAACCAATGGAAGAGAAAGTAGTAAAAGAAATTGCAAAGAATATTCTATCTTTTTCTCACCTCAATATCCGTCATCCATCATACAAGCTCGACCTTAGTTAAATCACAGGAAATCATTGATTCCCAACACCGCGACTGCTCCAATTCTTTTACTTTGAGAGAAAGAATTATAGCAAAAAATTCAAGCATATGTAAAGAGAGAAAGGAGGAAACACGTAATAATAGACTGCCAAAACTCTCTTTTAGAAAGACGTTAAAGAGAATTATAATCAAATACACACAAAATAGTGAAAGAGGATTAAATAGATTGAGGAAACTAACTGAAAGAAAGTGCTTTGTCCGCATAATAGCGATGAAATAAGTTCGTAAGCCAAGTTTGTGCAACTTTTTAGCTCATCTCTCTGTTTCCCACTTCTTTTGCTCAAAGAAATAAGCGAAAGAGATGAGGAAAAACATAAATGAAGAGACTCGGAATGCTAGTATGGTGAGACCCTCTTACTTCTCGTTTTCTTGTAAGAACCCCAAAAAACTTCAAACGATTTGATTCAACAAAGAAGGAAGGCCTGGTTCACTAGTTTGGGGTAGATTAGACTACAGTGGCAGGCCATGTTCTCTTATTCCCCATCTTCCATTTATTCATCTTCTTTTCATTTTCCCTTCCTATGTTTCTTTTGATTGCCGTTGCAATTCTCAACAGTGGTGGTCTGCTTTCTCCTCGTCGCTTCTTTCATTCTCTCTCATTTTCCCGTTCTCTCTTTTTCTTCCCTCCTTTTTCTCCTCCTCTCTCTCTCTCTCTCTCTCTCGACGATATATTGAGTCTCCTACCCACTTGCAGCAGTAGTTGAGGTGGCAACTGAGCCTTTCCCCTAATAACACCCCATTCTCATCACTACTTGGCAACTTCCTCTTACTCATATTTCATCTTCACCTCTCATAATACCCAACCGATAACAAACCTTCTACTATTTGATTTCATCATTGGTCGAATTGAGTTATAGTAACAGCGACAACTCAGTCACACCCAGAACATTGCCTACCCTCACCAACCTCTCAGTTGCAAATCTCTAACCATCACGACTGTTAGAGAGCGAATGGTCAAGACGCCCTGGTTCTCCCTACAGCATCTATCGAATTGGGCAAACCTGAAAATCTTTACAATTTCAATATTTTTTGGGCAAATTTTTTAAACTACCATTATGGTTTAGTTAATTGACCAAGTATACCCCTACTGCTTGAATGTTGTCTAATGTTACCCCTACTGTTTCGAAAAATTACCATTATTAACAGTAGGGCTGAAATGCCTGTTTAGCCCTTACGTGAAAGCTCCTTTCTTCTTATTTGTCTTCCTCGATGCATAACTCCCTCTCGCCCTTGTTTCATCACTGTTCGCTATAGCAGCGATGGACCCCCCTCCACACAACCCTCTCTCTCTCTCTCTCTCTCCTTGTCTGTCCCTTCTCCCCCTCGCCCTTGTTTCATCATCGCCACCATTACAACTTGTAGCAACGACAAACCCACCACACAATCTCCCTCTCTCTCTCTCTCACTCTCTCTTTCCTTGTCTGTCCTTCTCTCCCTCGACCCTATTTCATCATCGCCATCGTTACAACTTGTAGCAGCGACAAACCCACCACACGGTCTCCCCCCCTCTCTCTCTCTCTCTATCTATCTATCTATCTATCTATATATTATATATATCATCCCTTTCGTTTTCTCTCACCGATTCAGAGGAGAAATAATGTGGAGTAGGAAGCTCCACACGACTATGATCTACAACTTTGGCAGGTTGTGCGACTTTTGTTCTCAATCCTGCCAGGGTAGCAGAGGAAGAACTTCAAGACCAGCAACTCTTGTGGAATGCAAATCCTGGAGGAGTTCCATTGCTTGAGTGGTCGAAAGTCCGAAAAGAGTAGTGAAAGAATTCCTTGGAACCATTGCTTATTGAAGAATGTAAAAATCTACAACTCCCAAATCTTCTTATTCCTCCGCCCCTTCCCCGCTTTGTTCTCCCTCTCCATCTCCCTACAAGCTGGTAGATCAGTTAACCTAACTTGCGTTTGAATCTAAGAATGAGCAAAACAAGGATCTCTTCTCTGAAAAGCATCCGAAAGAACTTAAAGATTCTTATAACCAAAGGTGAATAAATGGTTTTGAAATTTATCCTGATGGAGATGACCCTTTTGCATTTTCTTAACAAAATTGGCAGAGGTAAACATATTTTTCTTTATGTTATTAAAGAGGGTTAATCATCATTTTTCTCTTCACCACAGAGTGGAGCTTTTGGGTTTTCATCGACAGATTAGCAGGAGGTGTTGGTGGGTCTCTTGAAGAAGATGGTGAAGAAAGAGGAGAAGAAGAAGAAGGGAAAAAGAGAAGGATGAAGGATAAAATTGGATTTTTCAAAGAATAATATATCACATGTGATGAAATATTAATGGATCCTAGGGTAGAATTAATCAATTGTCACTAGCATTAAACAATAATCAAACAATAAGAATATACTTAATCAATTGTAAGTAACATTAGACAATAATCAAAGGTAATTTAAAAAATTTACCATTTGAAATATTATAATGACAGTTGACAATTAATAAGGCAAATTTTGTAACTTTAACGGTATCTATGCGAATCAGTGACGGAAGAGAGGTTTTTATCGAGTTTTATTATTAAAGTAAAACTAGAGAGGAGGTTTTTATGATTGTTTCTAACTTGATGGGAGGTTTTTGTATTTTACCCTTACAATAATACCCTGCACGTACAAACATCAAATTATCGCATATCGCATCTCCGTAATATTCCCCAATTTCATCTTCCATCTTTCTGCCAAAAGAAAATATTTTTTCATCTTCAACGAGTCCATCTAAATCGCACCGATTAGAAGCCTTTTAATCCGTTTTTTTACATTCTTTGTCGATCTTCCATGAATTTATCGTTTCGATCCACATCTATTCTCTGAAAACTATCTCCCGTAGTTCTCGCAGTAGGAGGAGAGGGAGCTAGCTGTTTCTCTGACGCTGCAAAGCCCTAATCCATCTTTTTTTCGTTATTTTTTTGCAAACGCATCTGCAAGATTTTAAAGAGGAATTATGGGAGTTCCGGCCTTCTACCGATGGCTTGCGGATCGGTACCCTCTCTCGATCTCCGACGTAATTGAAGAAGAGCCGTCGGAGGACGCAAACGGTGTGCTTCTACCAATCGACGTCTCCAAACCAAATCCCAACGACATTGAATTCGACAACCTTTACTTGGACATGAACGGCATCATTCATCCTTGCTTTCACCCTGAAGGAAAGGTAGGGTCTTGTCCATAATTTCGTTCTTAGTTGCCGGCGATAAGTAATAGAGATCAACTTGGAATTACATGTAATGGTCGATGTTACTTTGCGGAATTTAGTTTGAAGGACAGATCAAAATGATATAATCATTCAAGAATTCAGCACTTAATTGCGATTGGTAAGGACATAATGTGGTCAATTAATTAATGTAAAGAAAAAACATGGGTTTGACACAGGCATCCGAGAAATATAATGAGATTATTAATTTGCCTAGTTCTTTAGGGTTTTTGTATCTATCTATGAAAAACTTTCAACTAGTTTGCGTACATATTAGCAAAAGGATGAATGGATCTCTAAACGAGCTCCTGGAAGTTTCATCCGAGGGGAAAATTATGGAGCTATGAATTTAAGATATTTGGCAGATTATACGGTTGACAGTAAAATAATGAACATGATTTATTCCTTGTCAACAAACAATTCATAGGTTTTTCTTGATTTTTCCCTTGTCAACAAACAATTTGAAATACCTAAACGTTTTTTAGAACAGGTCTAAAGTAAAAAAAAGCAATGATTTGAAGCACCTTTTTTTAGACTATTTTTTTTTTGAGAAAATTTAACCAGAATTTATTAATAAAAAGGGGGGGGGTGATCAAGAGGAGATATACAAAGCAGGGGGGAACCCCTACAAGAGGAGATATTTTTTTTAGACTATTTTGGAAGATACAGGTTTTTGACAGAATACTGTGGAACTGGGACATTTATTTATTTAGTTGGAAAGACTAGATCAATTGGAAGCAGGTTGGTGGTTAATATGGTGAATGCAGGAGTTAATCTAAAGGTTGGGGTTCAGCTTCCCATGGGTTTATCAAGGTATTTGGCACCAGGGAGAATCTCTCTCTATCTTTGTGGTCATGCCACCAGATCAAATGCTGCTAGGTATAGTACTATAACTTGAAAACAAATGGGAAATTAGGTGTAGATGCAATTTTCCCCTCTAAGGCTCTAACATTTGTTGCAACTGTAGACATGTTTTCTACAACTAGTTATTGAGATTGTACAAGTATTTATAAAATGTGAAAAACTAATCAACTCTGTATCCATTCTACCCTTTTCAAGACCATGGATAGCTGGGGCCATCATTGGGTGATGGCCCTTTTTTCAATTAAACAAATTTCTATTTCACTTCTCACTTGATTCCTGAGGACATTGTATTCTCATAACATGCAGCCTGCACCTGCCACATATGATGATGTATTTAAATCAATATTTGATTACATTGATCATCTCTTCTCGTTGGTTCGCCCAAGAAAGCTTCTTTATATGGCAATAGGTAGGCTTCACATCAGAATTGAGGGCTAGGTTTTCAAGCGTGCTTTCTCTTTGGTCAAATCTTGCACCATTCTTATTTTTGGCTTACTCTTGGCAGATGGGGTCGCACCAAGGGCTAAAATGAATCAACAGCGTTCAAGGCGCTTCAGAGCTGCAAAAGATGCTGCTGAGGCAGTAAGTATTCTGGGTATCTTGTTTTATTTTTGGGTGTGTATGATTTGGGTATATCCCATTTTTGATAAAGGGGACGACCCTAATTATCAAAAAAAGACTACATCTTTTATTAAGAGATCAGGGAAACTCTCATTATTAACTTTTGTATTTTCATTTCACTGTGATGTGCCCATTTTATCAAAATGGGATGCTCACAAATCACTGTCCTTTATTTAAATCTTAACTGGTGGATAAAAAGGTAAACTTCTGCTTATGTATTTGTATGGTAGGAGGCTGAAGAGGAAAGATTGAGGAAGGAGTTTGAGGCAGAGGGGAGAAATCTGTGTGCTAAGGAGAAGCCTGAAACATCTGATTTGAATGTTATTACTCCTGGAACTCAATTTATGGTTGTCTTGTCTGTAGCGCTTCAATATTACATACAGTCTAGGCTGAACCACAACCGAGGGTGGTGGGGTACCAAGGTTTGAACTTGCATTCCTTGAATGGATATTTTATCTCCATAGTCTCTCAGGATGGATGGTTCCTGCACATGGAGTAATCCTTTATGGTTTTCTTTTTTCCGAATACTTTGGTTTTCAGGATACTTCTCTCTCTCTAAATTTATTCATGGGGCTGCATTGGGTGATTATTTGAAGGTTATTCTTTCTGATTCCAATGTTCCTGGCGAGGGTGAGCACAAAATCATGTCCTACATCCGGTTGCAACGCAATCTTCCTGGTTTTGATCCAAACACACGACATTGTCTGTATGGCTTGGTAAGTGTGTCATTGTGAACATTAACACTGCCCCACAAAAAAAAAAGAAAAAAAGAAGACAAAAATGATTATTCTTTTAATCACTAAAGGCAGAAATTATTTTTTGCTTGTTTGTTCTCAGGATGCAGACTTGATTATGCTGTCTCTTGCTACTCATGAGGTTCACTTCTCAATATTAAGGGAGGTTAGTGGATATTGTTCTTTGCATAACTCCCACTATCTATAATTTATTGACTTATTAATGTCAGACTGAGGAACTACCTGACTCTACAGGTGATCTCCTTTCCAGGGCAACAAGAGAAATGCTTCCTTTGTGGTCAAGTTGGTCATCTGGCAGCTGAGTGTCGTGGCAAGCTTGGTGAAGAAGATGGAAATTCAAATGAGAAGGTCATAGATCCCACACCAATTCACAAAAAGAAATATCAGGTTAGCATTTTCTCTTTAATTTCTATCTGTAAAAGAGAGAAACATTGGTACATTTGCTCTGCTTTTATGGTTGTTTTTAAGCTTATTTCTCTAGAACAAAGAACAACTATTGGGCACTTTCTAAGCTTCTACTTATTCATTGTGTGGACAGTTCCTCAACATCTGGGTGTTGCGAGAATATTTACAGTATGATTTGGAGATTCCAGACGCTCCTTTTTCAATAAACTTTGAACGACTAGTGGATGATTTTGTTTTTATTTGTTTCTTTGTTGGGAATGACTTTCTTCCACATATGCCCACATTGGAAATCCGTGAGGTATGTAGTAGTTTTACAGTCTCCAGATCTAATAATGAAATCAATGCATCTGGATATTCGTTGTTTACTTATCTTAGGAATTAAAAATATTAACTTGTTTTTTTTTTAATTTTTTCATTTAACTGTATTACTAAATGAGCCAGATATGCTTCTAGTTTTAGGCTTTGTTTATTTCTAATGAACTTATTATCTTGCTTTCTTATGATAAAGAGTTCTCTGTTGCAACTTCAGGGTGCTATAAATCTACTGATGTATGTCTACAAAAGGGAGTTTACTGCCATGGGTGGCTATCTGACAGATGCGGGTGAGGTAATCCCTCAGATTTATCTTGTGGTACTGTTGCAGCTTATATTTCCATCTCTTAAATGGCATAAACTGTGATTAAGATTTAATTTGCAGTTATTTACTGTAAACAATGTTTTGCTTATTTATTATTCTTTATCTCCTTTCTCTTAATTTTTCCAGAAGGGAATTGAATTGTAAAAACTAATACCTGCCCTAACTAGACAATCACAACCAAATCATCATTTCTTGTAGCTCCTTGATTTAGATCAGGATGGGCACTAAAATAAATGTTATTAAATAAAGAAATTATTGAAACTCTCTTACAATAAACTATATTACCAGGGTACATTTTGCTTAAGCATATCCCATGCCCATGGTTTGCAATGTCCTTTAAATTTTCTTTGGTTGTTTTGTAAAATTTTCAGTTTTTGTTATACTTCTGCACTATTTCAAAATTTTCCACTTCTTGAAGTTTTCTTTGAACTAGGGTGTCAGATAAATTAGGGTTGATATTCATCTTCAAAGAAGAATTAGCCAATTAGGGTGTTGCAGTGATTTAAAAGGCACACCTAGGCATACAGGCAAGGCGCATTTTAGGGTAGTTGCCTCGCCCAGGTCCTAGGTGCAGCCCTTTCAAAAGGCGCATGCCTGGTGTGCCTAGGTATGCGCCTTTTGAAAATTTGGCTCTTTTTTGCTTTCTTTGAGTCTAGTGGCTTTTGAGAACCCCTTATTTGGTAATGTTGTTCATTCATTCATCCTAAAAAAATATCTTCTTAAAAAGCAATTAAAACTATACAACCATTATTTTTTTTTGTGTGAGAACTAATTTAAGACTTTAACATGGACTTTTTGGGCTTGCTTCGAGGGGTGTGGCACAAGGCGGCTCGTAGAATCTAGAATGTAATATTTTTTACATCACATTAGCAACTTGAAGTAATGCAATTGAGAAAAAAAAGAGATTGTGGGTTTTACATGCTTGAAGATGTTTTATATGTTGATTTTTTTTTAAAATTCTCATTTGAATATGCTGTACATGTTATGTTTATGTATTTTAATTTTAGATAATAGGTTTTTTAAAACATTTATTTTAAAATTTAAGTTTATATTTTTATTAATATTATGTTTAATATTTTTTTTTTGCATTTTTTGTTTTTTTTTTTTTTNTTTGATTTTTTAGATTTTTTTTTTAATTTTTGTGCCTTGCTTAAAAAGGCGCACGCCTCACCTTGCGCCTTAGGCGCAAATTGACCCCTGCGCCTTTTTTGCGCCTTGCGCTTTTAAAACACTGGAGTGTTGGATGAAGAAAAGACGCAAGGTGTTTTAACGAGGAGGGAAGGAGCAGAATTTTTGGGTGGGGTCACGAAAATCCTCTCTAGTACGGATGATCCAGATGAGACAACCTCTGCCATTTCTAGGTCAGTGGTGTCAGATAATCAAGAAGAAGGGGAACCTGGCTTGATTCGGAGGTGGATTGAAGCAGAAGAATGCTCGTATTAAGGAGGATGATGCTGTCTCATTTTCTAAGTCTAGATTTACTGAGCTTGCAAAAGTTGGTTATACTCATGTTGAGGAAAAGGAAGAAGGGGTGAGTCAGGATGAACCTAATATTCTGGAAGGAGAGTTAGAGATTTGTAACTGAGGAAATACTACAGGTGTTTGTGGGCAAATTAGGGGTCAACTTGGGACGAAAAGGGTCAAGGAAGTGGCAGAAGGGGCATCTAATGACAATATCCCACTGGAGAACCTGAAAAAAATCTAAAGGAACAAATAACAGACACTTAATTCATGCCACCAAAGTTTTTCATCGTTTGAAGGATGGTCTCTTGGGGGCAGGTCATTGTAATAGGTTTAAGAGGGCCTATAAGAAGAGGGGAGTGAAGACCAAAAATAAAATTCAGAGAGGTGATGAGAACAGTTGTGTTATTAAAGATCACAGTAAGACTGAGAAGAGCAAGGGGAAAACGATTCCTGATTCTCATGGAGAAGGAAATGATTTACTTCAAAAAGAGTCAGAAGAAGGGAGTGAAGATGATGAAAAGGGTGATACAAACCAAGGGCAAGTTGATGAGGTGGTCATAGACCAAGTGAGGGTGGTGGGGAAAGGAGGGCTGTGATTCTTGGGAGGGGAGGAATTTTGCATGAAAAACATTCTTCGAATTGGAAAAGAATTTTTCTATTTCTACTTTGTAAGTGTTTTAAGATTTTTGGGGATGATAGAGACTTACTAGGGGAAGGTTTTTAGGTGGGAAGAGTTAGGAGGGAGATTTAACTTTATGTAAAATCCTGGGTGGAGGCCCAAAATTGTATTTTTAAGTGTAGTATCAAGGGTGGTGAGCTTTTCTTTTTTCATTTTGGGTGATGACTTATCACCTCTGGTTGTATTCCCTTATCATTTATTTTTGATAAGTAACAATAAAAATTTATTAAAAAAAACTGAGTACAACCTAAAGGCAGGTGTTAAGATTTTTTTTTTTTGATGAATAAAGGCAGGTGTTAAGATTACACCCCCAGACCCAACAACGACTCCTACTACCCGCCTACAACAGCAAAGCAGGAGAAAAAATAGAATGAGAAGCCACTTTTGCACATCAATCACAGCATCAACCATGCAAGATTACTAAACACAGGTCAATCTTCCACCTCACCAAACTAGGCCTCCATCCTCATCCCAAATTTCTCCCCCTAACGCTTGGAAGCCTTTCTCAAAATTTCTTCCCTCCTCTTCCTTTCAAATGCCTCAAAAGCTCTTCTAGTGAAGTCCTCTCCTCCTAGGAAAAACAAACCCAAAGACTTACCAAGCCCATGCTTCCTTTCTTAATAACCCTTTCCTCCAACCTCACCTCAACAGAAGCCTTTCCTACAGAAGATCCATCCCTACTTGCTTTCCCTCACAAGTCAAGACCTTTTTGACTCTTACATTTGAGAAACCACAGGAGGAATAAACTTTCTAGCCCCATCAGGTGAAAGTGAAGATTCCAAACGATGACTCTCAAGACTCTGGGTTCTGGGTTTTACTCCTCTTCTTTTATAGATCCTTTTATACTTGTTGGTCGGCCCAGCTTCCACCAGACCATCTTTCAGCCTTGGGAAAACCTTCGTAACATGAATCACATTTGAGCTTAATTGAAGCTCTGGATTCTGATGATGTTGGGTAAACATTTCCAGTTAAGGAAGTTTGGGGTAAACCGATTCCTCCTAGAATTAGGGCTTTCTGTTGGGAAGCCTATTTGGGAAGGATTAACACTGGCGATCTCCTTCAAAGAAAGAAGCCTTTTTGGTGCTTATCTCCTATTTGGTGTGTTCTTTGTAAAGCTGATGGCGAGTCCTGCTATCATTTATTAGTTTCCTGTTCTTTTGTGTCTTCTATTTGGGAATGGTTTTTCTCTTTGTATGGTTGCAGATGGACTCCCCCACTAGATGTTCAAGGTCTCTTTGGCTCTGCTGTTGGCAGTTGGACAAAGAAGAAGGGAAAGGTGGTATGGAGAAGTACATGGGCAGCAGTCTGTTGGACAGTTTGGGAGGAAAGGAATAACATAATTTTTAACAAGGAAAGGTCTAAAGGGGCACTAATTGAACTAATCACCACAAGGGTGCTGCTATGGGTAAAATCTTAGAAGCTATTTGAAGATGTATCCACAACAGCTTGCTGAATAATTGGAAGGAAGTGACTTGGTCAGCTCCCAAGAAGAATGTTCATTCATTATGGACTGTTCCAACTCCTGGGTTCTTAAAGCTAAGCTTTGATGGTAGCAGCAAAGGAAATCCTGGCCCTTCAGGCATTGGAGGGGTCTTTAGGAATGAGGAGGGTGAGATTATTGCTATGTTCTCAGGTCCAATTGGGGAAGAAGACTCTCTCTGAGCTGAAGTTCTAGCTGTTTTAGAAGGTGTCAAAAAGGCGAAGGAGCTCAACTTAAGGAGGTTAATTATTGAGGGAGACTCGAAACTGGTGATAGATTGGTTGCAGAAAGAGGAAAGCAGAATGTGGAATTGCCTAAACGAGAAGAGAATCTTCAAATGGTGGACCCGAGAGATGACAGTGAGGCTTCAATGGGTAAAGAGGAGTGCTAATTCATTTGCAGATGCACTAGCTAAACAAGGGGTGGGATGAAATCAATTGTTCTTCGCTTACATGTAAGCTTTATATTTTAATTTTGGAGGAGCTAAGAGAGTTTATCTCCCCTGCCTTGTACCTATCCTTTTATCATTAATGAACTGATTCTGTTACTGATAAAAATAAATTCCTGCTTCTATAATTTGGTCTATCTGGACTGAAAGGAATTACATAATATTTGAAAATAATGATATTAGGAAGGATGAGATGTTGAGTGGTGGGCAGAATAGGCTCATTGGCTGTGGTGAACAAATAACTATAAGAATACATCCATTTGGGAATACGACTTTTGTAGTGTCCGTGGGGATTAATACAGTCCCTTACTGGATGGGGGTTCCCATCTTTCCCTTTGGTGGTGTTATCTTTATCTCTTTTCACAAAACCTTACTTTTCCTAGGTAAAAATTATTAGCTTCAAGATGGTTTGCTAACGTGCAAAGAACCAGTAAGAAGAAGTGATCTGTTACAACTTACAAGTTGAGGGGTCTACAAGTGCTAGGGGCAGATAAAAAAAGGACACTGGTTAAAGTAGTGAGAGGTGATTTAAGGGTCCATAAGGCCATAATAGTGCATAAAGCACTGAACAGAGTGAATGGCGGATACAGTCAACCAACATAATCCCATATAGTTGTGGCAAAAAGATTAGTTGAGTTGATGATAGCTTCAAGATTTGAACATCACCTCTCTCCTACTCTCTATTGGGTGTTACTGTTTTTCTAATGATTTCAGATCTAGGGTTTGTAACCTAATTGGAATTAGGTCATGCTTTGATCTGTGATTTGTTTGGTTTTGCAACAAATATTGATTGAGTTTTTGTTATAGGTACCTCTCATTTGATCTGATAGGCTTGAAGACATTTCCTTTCTTCTCGAATGGTAAACAGAATGGAATGGCAATCCTTGTTTTAAATACATTATTTTTTTGGAGAAGTACGAACAGGCCCAATGCAGTTTTCTGATTTCCACTGCAGAGCTATTAACATTCAAAATGTCAAAAACTCCCACTCCACACACCAATGCCCGCCCGTGAATTGGCATCAATTCCGAGCTGGCACCCACCCCAACTGTACTTTGGGCCTAAAAATTCTGACCCTGGGCTGAACCGTCATTCCCCCTTATTTTTTTTTAAACAAAACACTTAAAGTTACCATTTTGTTTTCTTATTATTTACTTTTCTGTTGTTGAAGTAGTAAGAAATGATTTAAGTGCTCATAGTTTAACAATGGATATGGCATTAAACAGAATGGAATGGAAAAACACGATTTATATAGCTTATCCCTTATAGTTGGGATAAGGCTTAGATTATTATTATTATTATTGTTGTTGTTGTTATTATTATTTACTTTTTGGTTGTTTGTAGTGATATATTTATTGGATCAAAAGCGCTGCTGCTTTAGATGTTTGTATGTCCTAATGTTAATAATTTCACGTATTAGGTATTACTGGAGAGGGTAGAACATTTTATTCAGTCTGTTGCAGTGTATGAAGATCAGATCTTTCAGAAGCGGGCTCGAATTCAACAGGTTATTTGCTTGCTCCACATTGTCTGTGTGTAAAAAATGTTCTTGTGCATTCTACTTTATAATTGTTTCCGTTGGAATCAATGGAATATTCTAAAGATTCTTAGGCATGATATTGGTTCTAAGTTTGCATCTTTTGGTATGTCTTCATCAAATCCTTTCAAGAGATTTGAAGTCATTGATTGACCAGTGATTGTACACTTCTGTTACACAGTGGATAGTCATCCCTAGTTCATTTTTCCTTGTTCAATTTCATTTTCTTATTTTCAGTCAGAAATAGAATGTCTTCGATGCACTTATTGCTTAATTCTATTTCAGGCACTAGAGAATAGTGAAGAGATGAAGCTTAAAATGAAGAGAGAGAATTCTGAGGAGCCACCAAGTTTGACTGTGGACAAGGTTAGCCATATCCTTTATTGTTATTCAAAGGGTGTAGATTGGATGGACACTCGTTTGGTCAGCATGCTTAATCTCGTGAATATCTTATGTGCCAATACATTTCAACAGAGTGCAAGAAAATTTACATTGTATTTTATTTTATTTGGTGGTGCAACAAAATATATGGTTTTATGAACTTAGTTATGTTTATAGGAGAAGTCATAGTACATATATAAGGCTTGTATTTTAGTCTTTTATTGACCTTTGTGTAGAAAATGGTTACTCAATTTAGCTGTTGGGGGTGATAAAGTCCTACTTTGTAGCTAACTTTACCCAAATTTATTCTCTGGTTCTTTCGCACACTTTGCTTGAATCACCAAATCTTAGTTCTTCCATGTATGTGATATTGATAATGTAGCTTGGGATTTTAAAGGATCCTTTTATTGTGTAGAATTGCTTTCTGAATTACATGTATCTTGTTTATTTGATTGGTAAAAGAGCATAGAGATATTATTAAATTATATACATTTTGGCTGTCCATGGAAACTGCAACATAAATGTCTGCTTCCAAGAACTTGACAAACTACTTCCGAATCACTTTGTAAATTTTTAAAAAGTTCCACCATGTTCTCAGATTCCATTTGTGGGCTTATGGATGTCACATGTACTTATGGTATGGGATGTGCTTTTATCAGTAATGCTTTCTCCATCAACTGTTATTGCTTGGATTTTTCTTGAATTATATTCTTTTTGATACTTGCACAGTTGCACTTCATATAGCACCACAATGCATATGCTCCAATGTTTTTCAGCCTGCTGGAACATCTGCTCAAATGTAAACAACATACTGGACTAATGGATAAGTTTTGCCCATGATGGATGCTTAAAGGGGTTATGATGTTTCTTTCTCAGGTGAAATTAGGGGAGCCTGGATATAAAGAGAGGTATTACATTGAGAAGTTCGATTTATCAGACCCAGAGAAGATTGATGAAACTAGAAAAGATGTTGTAAGTATTCTAAATTATTGTTAGTAAATAGTAACTTGATCAATGTTGGTAATTGCTTTTTCTTGCTTTATTATTGTTATGCACCTACTTCACATGATCTTGGCATGTTAAAGAAACTACATGCACATCTATCTGTATGTTCATTTAGAAGTATTCTGTAACTTCAGATCCATCATCTTGAGCATCTTGCTGTTTAATATGTTGGAGACATAATTGGCTAGGTAGGTTGCACTTGCACATCTATTTTACATAGAAGTTCAATGCTAGTGCACCTTGCTGAAAGTGTGGTATATATTTGAAAGTTAGGCATATAATTACTTTGCAGACAGTGTTATAAGATGTGAAAGAGCAGCAAGGTAGCTTATTTCCTAGTGGTGAACCAAAGGTGGGGTTTGAGACATGGATGTTTGAATTCCACTCTTCCTTTTGTGGTTTAAAGAATTTACAAGGTTTAAAAGATTATATCCAGTGTGGCATGGTGGTTCCCAGTTGTTTTGCCATTCTATTTCTACAAATTGGTCTCCCTTTCTCAAGGAGTTATAGAATTGAACTTTGACAGTTGCTTCCCTTGGGAATCCAGACAGATCATGAGTTCTTTGTTTTTCTTTATATTTTTGAGGAGGGGTTATTATGCTTTCAGAGGGCATGATGGGATAATATCCTATTGGTTTATTGAGGTCCCATTGGTAATGGGACTTCTATCAGAGCCGACCTTTTTCTCTCTTTGCTCCAGGGTTTGCATCTGATGTTCTCCTTGGGTAATTTACAAATTGTGTTAAACCAAGTCAGCAGGCTATGGAGTAGAGTGGAGAGAACTTCTCTAGGGTCCTGTTCTACTTTGCTATTTTCTTTGTACAGTTATGGTTTTCCTTTCTTTCTTTCTTTTGGGTAGGGTCCTCCCATTAGGAGTGCCTTGCCATATATATACGTATCTTGTCTTGGATTAAAAACTTGTCTAGGCCATGCATTTTAGGCCCAGACAGATTTTATCATCCCTACTCAAAACTTTGAAGAATTTAAATTTAAGAATTATTGTCATGGAGAGATATTTAAGTATCATTTTACTTTTGAAAAAAGGAGAGGCCTTAGGAAATAGGCCTCCTTTCTCATGGAGTAATATGATAAACCTCCATGTTCATGGGATGTTTTTTATGGTGTATGCACAATATTGGTATTGTTCTCTCTTTTAACTATAATTCATTTTGATCCTCCTTTAAGAAGCTTAATCCTCAGTTCCTCACTGCTGCATTCATTGTTATTGATTTATCTGTGGTCAAATCATGTCAATCTACTTGCCTTCTAACAAATTTTTACTAACTCTTAATTTCCTTGTAATTGCTTATTTTTATTGTATCTCTGCTAGTCTCACCACTCATCCATTTTAATGTCATCCCTGGGACTCCTTAAAAAGTTAGTGATTTTACATAACAAAGACAAATGGAAAAACAAACATGAAATAAACATGTGATGTTAAATACATAGTGCTGATCAATGTTACATTCTTCTCAAGGTAAAGGAAAGGTGGAGGGGAATTCTTCTTGACTAGATATCTTTGTGTGAATTGGGACATGCTAGGTTGTTATTAATGCTGGATCTGCAACTATGCTTTTCAGTTTTAGCCTGTCACTCATTTGGATAAACCAGCCTGTCTGTGTGTTTCCTATGCAAAAGTTTCGTTTTTTTGCTCTGCTTTCTTGGATTTAAAGGGTTGAGGTAGTAGGAGAATCACAAGTTACTGGAAGGATGTTTTTTTTATCAGTAAGGCGTGAGCTGCAGCCCCTCCTAGAATCGTACAATTAAACTAGGAAAAAAGATAGGAATCACAGCTGAGCCCAAAACAATTCTTCCCTATTTACCCCTTGCTTGGCTAACACATCGGACAAGGTATTTTCTGATCTCCCCACCCACTGTAGAGAGACCAACATATTCCTTGTCAACCAACTGAATTTCTTCATTCCGTTCTTGTAGCACCATATAGCATCTTCAGGATTTTTCAACCAGCCCACCACCACCTTGGAATCCCCTTCAATTATCAGATTCTGTACCCCCAACTGGTTTGCAAATTGCACCCCTTGTACAGCAGCTAATAGCTCTGCCCTGATAGAGTCTCTAACTCCTAAAGGACCCGATAAAGCAAGACAATCTCTCCATTCTCATTTCTTAGAACACCCCCTCATTCCGGATAATCCTGGATTACCCATGCTACCTCCATCAAAGTTCAACTCCAGTGAACCTTCAGATGGAGGAGACCGGCTTGTAATTAACTTGTCCTTTAAGGGTGAACACCTCACTACTGCTGACCAATTTCTCCAAAGGTCATTAAAAGAGAATTGATGAAAGATTTCCAGTCTTCAGCCAAAGGATTGCCCTATGCAACACACAACCTTTCAATTCTTGATTGCTCCTTTCCTTTTCTTGAAAAATTCTAGCATTCCTTTCTTCCCAAAGAGTCCAGATCAGGGCGGCGCGAGCGAATCTCCACATTCCCTCTTTTTGTAGGCCAAGAGAAAGTAGAATGGTCAAAGATCATGCAAACTTCTGCTGGTACTAATGCTATGTTGGATTAGATTTTGGGAAGATATTTGGGTTGCGAGCTTTTATTGAAAGATGTGTTTCCTTCTTTGTTTGTTCTCTCAAGTTTTAAAGAAAGACCTATGTTGGATTTCAATTCGGGTGCTAATGCTACATTTATAACTTTGATTCCTAAAAAGGTGGATGGAAGTCACCCAAAGGATTTTAGGCCCATAAGCCTAATTGGTAGTATGTATAAGGTAATCTCTAAGGTTTTAGCCATGAAAACCAAAACAGTACTACCATCCCTGATTTCTCCGAATGAAGGAGCTTTTGTTTCAGGAAGACAAATTATTGATAAGATACTTATTGCCAATGAGTGTGTTGATTACAGAAAAAGACGAGGAGAAAAGGGGCTGATTTGCAAATTTGATTTGGAAAGGGCCTATGATTTGGTGGACTGGGGATTTTTGCTTGAAGTTTTGAGAAATAGAGGGTTTGGAGAGAGACGGTGTAATTGGGTCAAGGGTTGTGTCTATTTGCTGTTACTCCATTCTGGTTAATGGGGTAGCCAAGGACTTTTTCCTTGCAAAGAGAGGATTGAAACAAAGGGACCCTCTTTCCCCCTTCTTGTTCACTCTAATAGTAGATGTTTTGAGTGTCCAGATTTTTAGAGCTGATTACAAAAACTTAAGTTAGAGGGTGGAGAGTAGGGTGGGAAGTAGTTGTTACCCACCTACAATTTGCAAACGATTTTGAAAGGGTCTCCAACTTCGGTGTAAATTGGAATAAAAGTTGTGTAGCTGGGGTCAATAGGCAAGAAGCTGTAGCTTCTTTGGCTAGAACTCTAGGTTGTGAGATAAGTGATTGGCCTTTAAAGTATCTAGGCCTACCATTAGGAGGAAATCCATGGTTAGAAAGCTTATTGTACCCATTGTTGGAGAGATTCTCTGAGAGATTAGCAGGGAGGAAAAGGAACTACATCTCTTTAGGGGGTAGAATCACTTTAATCAAGTCAACACTAGCAAATTTGCTGGTATACTTCTTTTCTACTTTCAAATTGCTTGTTAAGATTGTGGATTGGATTGAAAAGGTAATGAGAGACTTTCTTTGGGAACCTAGGGATTCTAAAGAGGATCATTCGGTGAAATGGAAAGTGGTTTCTAGAAAAAAAAGATAAAGGGGGCTTAGGGATCAGAAATATTAGACTATGAAACATAGTGTTATTAGGTAAATGGCTGTGGAGATTTCCTAAGGAGCAAGAAAATTTATGGCATAGGGTGATAGAAAGTGTCCATGGATTGGCAGCTAATGGATGGGATGCTAGTATCAATCCTAGGGCTTGTTGTTCTTCCCTGTGGAAAAGACATTGTTGGTGTCCTGTCTGTTTTCTCCCCTTTCATTAGGTATGATGCTTGCTTGGGTAATAAGGTTCTTTTTTGGGAGGACACTTGGATTGGGGACTCTCCTCTCAAGGATAGATTCCCAATCATCTGTTCCCTCTCTTTGAACAAATTTAAGGTTATATCTTCTTTTCGTGTTTTTTGGGATTCATAGGATCTGGGATTAAGGATTTGAAGGACTCAAAAGTGGGATCAACAGATGAATTGTTTTCTCTTCTAAACTCATTGTATTTGGACCATTCTTGTCTTGATAGTAGAATTTGAATCGAATCATCTTTAGGCAGCTTTTCTTGTTCTCTTTTTTTCAATGCTTTGGTGCTATGAATGGCAATAGGGTGGGGATCCTATTCCTTGTCCCTAACTCTAATCCCCACTGGAGACTCGAATTCCCGAAATTTTTAATTAACAGTATTTTTTGAAAAATAAATATACTTAAAAATAAAGTAAAACTTTAAAATATAAATGATATTTTAAATATATTTTGGTATATGTATATATAATATAAATAAGATCATATATATAATAATATATGTTTAATATGAATAGTATTTAATATATGTAATTGGGGTCGAGGCGGGTGGGAACTTAATTCCCCATCTCCGACCCCATCATGTCGGGTACCTGGCGGGGATAGAGAAAATTGCCATCCCTATTTGGTGCTACCTACTAACTTGGTTACTTCCTTTCCTGTTAAAGAAGTCTGGCGTGTTCCAGTGCCTCCAAAGGTAAGGGCTTTTTGTTGGGAAGTGGTTCTCCAAAAAATTAATACCTTGGATGTGCTTCAAAGAAAAAGACCAAATTAATACCTTCGAAGTCTGTGGCCTTTGCTTGAAGAGTGCTAACACCTATTAATATCCTGTCTTTCTGTTACTAATATTTGGGATTGGTTATCCTCTTTCTTTGATTCCAGGTGGAATCCTCCCTCACGTGTAGCAGATCTTTTTGACCCTAGCTTCTTCCGACAACCAAAGAAGGGAAGGGTGATGTGGAGAACATCGAGGGTAGCTATCTTGTGAGCAGTTTGGGAAGAGAGAAATAATAGGGTTTTCCAAGGGAAAGAAAAAACAGTTCCTGAACTTATAGAAGGGATCACCATCAAGGTCATACATGGCTGAAATCTCTGGACTTATTCAAGGATGTCTCTGAAGGTGACTTGACTAGAGGTTGGAACATAGTAGCAGTGTCTTCTGTGTCATCTTCTACCATTCAAGAGGATTGTTCTCCTCTTGTGCAGTGTAATGTGAAACTGAACTTTGATAGAAGCTCTGTTGGTAACCCTGATCTCACTGGAAGTGGAGGGAGACTCAAAATTAGTAATAGGCTGGATGCAAACAAATAGTTTGGGAACGTGGTCCCTTAGACAACCTGTAAGGGAATTATTGAACCTCACAAGGGAGCTGGGAGCACATTTTAAATGGACTAGGAAGTCAGCAAATGCTTTAGCTGGCACTTTAGCAAAGCAAGGGGTTAATCGGGAGTCTTTGTTTTGGGCTATTTTGTAATCTGATTATATGATGAAGGGTCACCTTATGTCTCTCTGTAGGTGACAGTTGTATTTCTTCTCATATTAAGTTAACGAAAGTTACCGTTTCCTATCAAAAAAATACTTATTACTTTGTATTTTGCATTGTCTTTGTATTTGGGTTCCCCACCTGTTCTTTGTTTAGTAGTTTGAGGCTGCTCTCTCTCTCTCTCTCTCTCTCTCTTTCTTTCTCTCACACACACACATTCTTATCAAGTAACATAACTATACTCGTATATAAGATGATTCCATGGTTTGAAAAAAGCTGCTTTACCTATCCAGCCATTAAATTAGTCTGCATGATCCATTGAGACATTGTGATCTTATTCAGGATTTGATCATTTAGTTTAGGTTTTTCTTTGTTAATACATGTGATAGTGTACTAGCTACTATTGGAAAGAAGATTAACGTGGACTTTTGAACATACTGTTGGGCATTTTCAACTTGTTCGATCTTTTTTCTTAATTTCATGTCAACTGAGAATATTTATCAAATGTTACTTTTATTTTACTTAAATGTTTGGGGAATTACCACTTAGAAATTGTTTGTTGGCAGGTATTGAAGTATGTGGAAGGCCTATGCTGGGTCATGCGATATTACTACCAAGGTGTCTGCTCTTGGTTATGGTCAGATTCTAACAGATGATAGAAAATTACCCCTCCTTGCCTTCTTTCATTCATCTTTTTCCTATCCTCTTTAAAACTTTATACTATTGGGTTTAAATATCTGACATAGTATTAGTAGTGGATAGTAACATTTGACAGGCATCTGTTTATGTCAATATGGATTACACAAGGACTTAATGCTAGGACAAGGGCATCTCTCCTGAGGGTGCTGCAAACATGAGGTTCCCCCATGCTGCCACTTTGGATGGGGTGTGGTGGTGGGTTCAATGGACTCTTGCAAGGAGGTACTTGTAGCCAAAAGGGTTGGATTATCCTTTCAATCTTGTGGGTTGGATTATCCTTTCCTCAGTGCCATAAATCTCCTATATCGTGGAATGGATTGCTGCCCCTGCTCTAGAACTACAATCAATGGTTTTTGAGTACATCAATCTTTCCTCCCATAGGATTGAAAGGACTGTCCAATCTTGAAGTTTGCGCTCCCACAGTGCAAATTGAAGTCCCTTGTCAATCAAGAAATTGCTTGAGATATCCCATGGTTGTAAATGAAAATAAATTACAAAATGATATTTTCAATTGTAGTTTCTAGTTCTAGATATAGCCTAATAAATACAAGGTTCAAAATTTCATCACGTATTGACCTGTATTGGCCGATACATATTTGTATTGGTGGCTTACCTCTGTTTCACGGGTAACCAGGCCTTTTACTGGCCCACCTGAATGTGTTTAGAAAAAAAAAACTTCAAAAAAATAAGAGCATGTTATTTTAAAGTCTTATACTCCCAATTCGGCGTATCAGACTATTGATACTTTGATCCTTGAATAAATATGAAGTAAAACAAAGCAACAAGTCATTTAGTTCAGCCACTTCATTATTTAATGGCCCCTAACCAGGGATCCTTAGGTTTCCAAATCAATAGTGGATCTCCCTCATTCTGCATGCATGTGATCGTACAATTGATTGACAAGAAGGGACGATGACTTACAGAGATTACTATTTGATCCTGCATCTTGTCAGGTATTATCCATATCACTATGCTCCCTTCGCTTCCGACATCAAAGATTTGGCGGATCTAGAAATTACATTCTTTTTGGGAAAGCCATTTAAGCCTTTTGATCAGCTAATGGGAACCTTACCAGCTGCCAGGTTTTTTTCTCCTCCTTGCCCTCCAGTTATCTTAGAATGTTAAACTTCTTCAATTTGGTTAGTGGAATCTCTTTTCTTTATTTTGTGTGAGGTTTTGATGAAGCTTATCTTTCTCTTTGTATGTTGCAGTTCCAATGCTCTGCCTGAACATTACAGAGCCTTAATGACTGATCCATCTTCGCCAATAAGTTCTTTTTATCCTTCAGGTACATTGGGTTGGCTCTTAATATCTATGCTTATAATGTATTTTCTTTTTCGAGACATTTGAATTTCTTTATGTATGCAGATTTTCAGATTGACATGAATGGCAAACGCTTTGCGTGGCAGGTATAGTCTGGGCTATTATCTCAAATAGATAATTCGTCTTTTTAGATGCATAAACTAATGAGAAATATTTGAATCTCTTTGCCAAAACACAGGGTGTTGCAAAGTTACCATTCATTGATGAGCAGAAATTGCTTGCTGAAACAGAGAAACTTGAGAGTACTTTAACGGTGTGAATGATGAGGATTCTTTCTTCTCCTTTCTCATTCTTTTTTCCCCTTCAATTATTTCTTCAATACTTACACCTATCTTTATTAAATGAAAATAAATTATCTTAAGAAATTGGATCTCTTGCAGAAAAATAACTTTCTTTTCCCCAAAAGTAATATGAAATATCATGACACTTGCAATTTCACCTTTTAATGATACTTTGTAAATCAGTGAATAAAATTCTAGTTTATCAACTCTTGGCAAAATTTCTTTTTTTAGCTACACTGATATTCTGGTAGCTTAATGATGAAAATGTTTACTCAATAAAATGAAAATATCAATGATGGTATGTTTAGCTTCTATCCATTAATGCACTTTTTTCTCATATTATTTTGTTAAAATTGTGTAATATTCTTGTGTTTAGATGAACAAAGTATTCTCAATCTTCATGAAGCAGTTAAAAATCAGTGAAAATTTAGAAAAGAAAGTAAATAAGGAGAAGAAAAGGGCTCATAGGTGTAATGGCACAATGGGAAGAGTTTTTTTTTCTCTTTTTTACTCTGACAACTTTATTGATTAAAAGAGAGAGAATGATATATGAGAAAAAAGGAAGTTCCTACCCCGGGGGATTAATTCCCCAATAAAGATTGTATTGGATCGGGTGGTTGCTCACTCAGTCCAAGTTAGTGTTGTCAATAGGCAGGGCCTGGTCCAGGTCTTCGACGTGACCTGAAAAGTAAATGTGCAGAACCAGTTCCAAACCAGACCTTATAGGATCTGTAATTTGGACTATTGGGTCTGACTTGATTGCAATTGATAGCTATATTTTAACCTGTAATTTGACACTAAACCTACTTATTTGTTAAATTTGGCACATTTGGACATAATAATATGATAATACAAGTACATCATGAGAAAACTAGGTATTACACTGAGGGTGTCTTAGTAATAAACAACAAAATATATGCTTGCTTTTTTCCTTTTAATTTAATAAATTTCTTTCTTGGTGCTGGTAATAAATAAATAAATAAATAAACAACCAAAGTTGACTCTGACGCAATTATTATCAAGACATATCATTCAGATCCAAACCCTATATTAATTATTGGGCCAGTTCAGTTTGGGTCTATTGAATATATATATATATATATATATGGTGGCATGGTTTAATATGTCTGCATGTTCCCAATTCTTCAATGACATATTTCTATTTCCATGGGTTCTGAGATAAACTGGAATATCTCAACATATTCCCCGGTGTGTGTTAAAAATCATCTAGGAGTGGGGAGGGAAATTTTCATCGAAAATGAAGAAGGCCGAGGATGGCCTACGGTGTGTGTTACTGTTATCTGAAGGAAACACGCTTTTTTGGACCGTAGTGGTATGATTGCCAGGCCCTCTCCTCGTTCCGCCCGCTGGCCTATTGGGATAGCAGCCTTTGGGCTTTTCCTGTCCTTCCTAATAAAAAATTCCAGCTCAGACCGGGAAAGCGCTGGCAACAACAGAAAGGAAGGGGATATGTTGAGATAAACCGGAATATCTCAACAATGAAGGGGTTCTTTTTTCAATTTTGGTAGAAAGGATTCACAATGAAGTAGAGTAGCAAACTTGAAACTTATTAGCATTTACATTTAGAGCATGGTCTCAATACTAAAGCATATCTATCCTGTGGTCCATACAGGAAGAAGAAAAGTTTCGAAATCAGATGATGTATGATCTGCTCTATGTCAATTCAAGTCATTCTTTGGCAGGACAAATTAAGTACTACCTCGACTACTGCTACCTATGCTGCAATCATATGCCCCTGCCACGTTGCCCAATTGACATAAATGCCAGGTAAGTTAGTATTGATTTAGGACGGGGTATGAATAATTTGGAAAAAAAGGGCGGTTTCTAATTACTTTATCCCTTTATTGCAGTGGGGGTATGAATGGCTTCCTATGGTTATGTGAGAGGAATGGACTGAGGGAAACCATTCCTTACCCAATTAAGGGTTTGCAGAACATCGAGAATAACAGTGTCTTGTAAGTCTTCTGTCAACTTGCCTGCATTGTTTTCTTGTACTTAAGGTATGCATGTTTTCAAGTTCCGCTTTTCTGCTATGCAGAGATGTTACTTATATTAATCCTGAGCGGCATCGCCACATTCCAGAACCTCCCGATGGTGTAATCATGCCTGAAAAGGTATGCAGGCATCAACTCTGGCTCTACTGGAAAAGTCTGTAGTTAATAGGATTTTAAGATTTTAGCCATCATCTGCATGAATACATCTTGGGCATATTCATCTATTTTCCTCACTGTATTACATTAGATATTTCATGAAATTGGGTTTGTTTTCAGCATGGCAAATGTCCTCAATAGTGCTATAAAGCCGGAGAACGAAGTTTTTGTTCTCTTTTGAACATTTTGTTATTGTATGTTGCGATCTAGAATAGCATTACTAATTCTGTTCTTGAAAACGTGTCTTTGATTTTTTCCTCAATGGACAGTTTCTAAAGCCTTATGACATAAAACCCTTTCCTGTGTTATGGCATGAAGATAATGGCAGGCGTCAGCAAAGGTGCGCTTTTTATTATTTAATTTTAGTAGTGTAATGGTGGAGTAGTTGCTTCTTTGTTCCCAGAACACCAGAAATATCGTTCAACTATCATTTCATAATTCATACTAATTAGTTAATGTAATGAATCCTTATCAACTTAATGTTTTTTCTCCTCAGGCCTCAAGTTCCACGTGCAATATCTGGCCCTCATTTAGGAGAAGCAGCCCATCGATTGGTCAAGAATACACTTAATGTCAGAGGCAGCAATTACACTTCCTCAGGATGGTCAGAACAAACAAATCACCGAAATATTTCAGGTAATCACATGGTCAACAGACCAAGGCCAGCTGGACCTTCAGGGTATGAAAACGGATTCATCCAGGACCCCAATTACCACGGGAATTACCACCATCCTCGGGCTGTCATTAGTAGCTCCAGATCAGCACCCTCCTTCAACGACATACAGGGCAACAGACAAAATTTCAGGATGCAGGACAGGTCGCAATATCAAGATTATAGCTTAAGGGGTGCAATATCTGCCTTGACAATTGAAGAAGGTTCAAGGGCTCGACACCATTCTGGTGTGCCACCAAGGATGCCAAATTCTGGGTACTCACAAAGTCCACACCAGGCATATGTTCAGAATGCTACTCTGCTTCCTTGGCCACCCACTAATTGGATTGATAAACCAATGATGAGAAATGCTGGAGGTTATGAGAAACAGCAGGTGAAGAAGATTTATCAAGTGAGAGCACAACAGCGACAAGAAACACCAGATGCTGGGTGCTAGCAGTAATTCTTGATGTTGTCTCGGTTCATTTCTTTTTTAGGTGATGGATGTAACTGTGGGCAGGTGTAGTAGTACATATGTAATTGGAAAAATGTTACTGGGGAAACCATCAGATGACCATTTTTAAATTTTCATCTGATCAAAAGGTTCCTTTCTGAACTGAATGTATCTATTAGGTGTTCAAGTGGGGACATGGTCTGTTTTCGGTGTCCATGGATGTTAAGTTCAAACCAACGGAAATGTTGTTTTCTCAATTAACCGTGTAATTGTACTTTCGGCAAGATTTAATCAAGGATGTTCAGATGCTTTATCTCAGAGTGTTTTTCCCTTGCATTTGCTTGAATTGTAATTGAGATGTAGAAGAGTCGGATCCGCCACGGTGCTACCCACCAACAGCTTCCAACTCGGCACTCCTCGAATATGTTTTGTACTTTTGAGACGGCAATCATGCTTAGAGATGTGATGTGCCATGTGCGGCTGTATGATCATCTTGTTGGAAGCTCGGTGTATAGCGCCTTGTGGGTTGTAGATCTCCCAAGTTTACATGAAATTGATATTTGATTGGCACCATTAAGTCAGGTGCTATGCTTTTTATTATTATTATTATTATTATTATTATTATTATTGAAATGGAAATTATACAGTGAAAAATAATATTTTCTTTCTTTTTCCATTCGTTTTATTTTATCTTTTTATTTATTTTTGGCATAAAACTCATCATTGTTTAATATTTTGAAGCTTATGCAACATTTTTTCTTGGAAAAAATATTATACAACACTATCGGAGTGCAGATTATATGGTGAAAAATAAAAACCTTGGTCTTACATTCCTGCAGGCTGCAGCTTGAATTCAAAAACTGCATAAAATCCACCAACGTGACAATGGGTTAATTAATTAGCACTGACACTGATTTCTATGATATCGGTTGATTTGATTAACACCTCAATGATAATGGTGAATTTTCATCAATCAGAACCATCCCCCCCTCCCCAACTGTCGGTGTCCTGATGAACATCGGTCGGTTGATTACCACTTCTAAGATACCGATTGATTTGGTTGTCAGTTTTCCACATGTCCAATTTTCAGAGGTGAGCTGAGGCATGTGGAATAAGTATAGATTTCCTCGTAATTTTATGGGGGAGATGTACAGACATGGATGATGTTGGGACAGCTTAACTTAGGAGATCCTCCAATTCATGTGGAATCTGCCAGAACCGTGGGTTGGGACCAGATCCGGACTCTGATTATAAAGCCTCCTCAACTCTTCAATGCAAATGATCCAGATCCCAAGGGGTCATTTTGTTGAGAGGTCATATCCAGTCTACCTTAGTCTGGATCATCTGCCAATAAAATATATTCAAACCCTCTACCAACGTAATATCACACCGCACAATCTCATACATGACAGATTCCAATTTATAGTGTGCCCTACTCTCATAGTGAGAGGTGACCCCTTCTGGGAGGTTCTTGTCAGAAAAGTGAACTTACATGTTCTACAGGCATTAGATATGAAAGTTTGTCTGTTTTGTCACGTAGGCTAGTGTTGATGAATTGATTGATCACCTCTTTTATTCTTGCATGCATGTGCACTACTAAGAACCATGGTTTTCAAAACCGGATCAGACCAGACGGTCGGACCAGAAAAACCAGTAACCGGTCAGGTGACCAATTCCATTATACCTCAAAACGGTTATTACGCCAAAAACCGCTGATTTGATCAGCAAACTGCTGACCTGAGCAGTCAAACCGTTCAAACTGTCCAACAGTTTTAACCATTTATTTATTTTTTTTGTCAGAATAGGCCGTCTATTTGATTTGAACAGTCAGTCCGTTTGGCCCGAGAACCGATCCCCTGACCAGTTCGGTTTTAAAAACCTTGCTAAGAATAGATCTTAAGCCTCTTTTCGGCAGTTTATGGCAGCCCTCAGCAGATATGTTAGACTTTGAACAGTTTACTTTCTGAGTTCAGATCTGCTGACCACCGACCATGCATTGGCCATGGTCATCCAGTCGTACATTAGAAATATCTCTTGTATTTTATATTGCCGATATTCCCAATATACGGCTGGGTAAATGCGACTAGCAACGTGTTGTGGTTAGCAGATCCGGACAATTTACTTCTCACCTCTGCCTGAGTAAGAAGATTGTGTGGAGTGTGGAGCAACAATTATTTGGAGTATATGAAAGTATATGAAAGGGGTGGGATTTCTAGGATTTTTCTCTTAAAGGAAAGCACATTAGACAAAGTAGAAGGTGTGGTTACAATGAGGACAAGGGGATGACTCATTACAGCTTGATGAGGGATGTGTTCAGAGGCATATCACTGGACTTGGGGATCAGAGACCGAAAAATTGCACCCAGCTCTTCCATTGGATGATAAATAGTTGTTTAAGAATGGTTCCTATCATTAGTTGGATCTATGAGGTGCAATTTTAATGGTTGCTCCCTTATGCACATTTGTTTTGCAGGCAAATCTGGGAAAAGATTTTGAATGATTTAGGGGTTCTTCCAATACTTAGCTTGAAAACTTGATAGAAAAATAGGAATACCTAGAAATTAATGGTTGGAAATATTTTTTTATTTGGAAATTGATGAGAGGGTTTTAATAATTTCAGGGAGGACAAGTTTTGGTGTTATCCATGAAACAGAATTATAACCCATGGAGGCAAGCATCAACCACTAAAATCATTGTTCCCTAAATGGATGGCATGTCCATTTTAGATACATGTCGAGTCAGATTTTTGGACACCCATTGAATTCCTACTCCTCTGTCAGTGTACACGAAAAACTGACTAAAATACATGTTCATATAAGAAGGAAGAACCCAATTGGGAGAGTCATGGTGTTAGGTGACCTCTGCATCTATCTGAACAAGATGTTGATAGAGGTCAAGCCACCCTGATATAATTACAAAAGGCCCATGGACCCTCAACATCATCTCTGGACCTACCTATCACCCATTTGAGATTGTTATGATATCTTTAATCTTGCTGGTTCTAACATAGCCAGAAAATGAAAGCCTTGAAGCAGTGATATCATTTATGCTGTTGAGTTCCCTGACCAAATAGTCCCTGAATAAGCTAATATGGCCTCTCCTCTCTCATCCCTGAATACTCTTATTACACCCAAAGGCCTGTGTCATCCACCCATCAGAAGCCACTGCCAGATGCAAAATACAAGCTCCCTTGGCCTAAAGAAGGGTTTGACCTCCAAATCATGATCATGCAGCATAACATTGACAGGTAACTTAAACAATTTTATCAGCTAATATTCAGTCATAGCAAATCACACACACAATAAAAGAGATCCTTGTAGGAAGCAGGACATTCCAGACAAAGTTTTACCCCTAAAAAGAACATCTCTCTGGACTGGCCAGGAATTACAACAAATGTGAACTAGGATCAACATCTAATGTTGATGGTTCTGCCCTGTATTAGGCTATTGAGCCTCTAATCTCAAAAAGGCAGGATATTATGCTTTTAAAACGCTGGTTTCAGGATGATCCCAAAGACCATAACTAGCATTGAAAACACAAGGACAGGTGATACCATCTTCTGATATCTTTTCACTAAGTAACCAAAGCAGTGTTTTAACTTTTAAAAGCGCAAGGCACTAAAAACGGGGGTCATGCGTGAGGCACAAGGTGCAAGGTAAGGCACACACCTTTTTGAAGCAAGGCACAATTTTTTTTTTTAAAATGAAAAAAGTAAAAAAATTCAAAATAAACCAAAAAAATATTAAAATAGTATTAATTTAGAAAATAAATGAAAACTTAAATTTTAAACTAAATGTTTTAAAAATCCTATTGACTCAAATTGAAATACACAAACATAACATATGAAACATATTCAAAGTGAAAATGTAAAAATAAAAACAAACATGACAGACAAACATATTCAGACATGTGAAACTTTCAATCTCTTTATTTCTTTTCCAGTCACATCACTTTAAATGGCTAATGTATTTCTAATTCTACAAGCCACCTTACTACCAAGCCCCTTGAGGAAATTCCGGATAAGTCCATGTTAGGATCTTAAATTCTTAACCCGTACATAAAATATTGATTTTGTAAATGTTATTATGGTTCCTTATCTTTTGAAAAATATATTGTGTAAAAAGATGAATGAATAGTATTAGCAAAAAATGATGGTTATGGGAAACCTAGGCATACCAGGTGCATGCCTCAAAATGCACCTCACCTGGGCGCCTAAGTGCACCTTTTAAATCACTGAACCAAAGCAAGTGCCTACTTAGAATCCATCCTAATTTTTTTCAGGATTCTGCAAACAAGATAATGGTAGTGAAATTAGCAAAATTCAAAATTCGGTGATTTGTTTAGGAATAACATCTATAGATATGCAGTAATAGGCTAATAACATCTATACAGATTGCATGAAAAAAGGGGGAAGGAGTAATATGGAAGCTAAGGAATGAGCTCAGGCACTTCAAGCAGATATCTAAAGACATGTTGATTCAAATAAGATGGATTAGGAGATCAGCTAACAGCATGGCTGGTGGTCTAGCTAAACAAGATTGCATGAATAAATTCTTGTTGTATTTGCTCTTTTAATCTAATGAATACATTCTGTATTGCTGATCCAAAAAAAAAAGAAAAAAAGAAAAAAAAGATTGCATGAATCTAGGAATACAAAAACATTTGTAATTTCTCAGCTACACAGACCCTACACTTGCATTCAAAATAAAATACATATATGCAACAAACCTAAGTTTATCATCCTCAAGAAGATAAAACTAATACAGTTCTAAATAAAATGTACAAACTCTCTTTTTTCTTAGTAATTTACTTGCTCTTTGGATGGATAGGAAATCAACATCACATTATCATTCTGATTTCCAAAGAAGGAACAACCAAGAAAGGGACCCATTTATTGAATGATTTGGACCAATGCTGTAAATGTGTAGAATATGTAGTGTTGTCTCCATTGAGGTCGATAAAACAAGTCCAACATATATCACTAGCAACAAATCAGCTTAATGAAAAAGTAATGTATAGGACAGAAGAAGCATATAGAAACAAGATACATAACATATTACATACCTTCGAAAGAAGGTTTTTCCTTGACTTGGATATCAATTTTTCAAATCTCTAACTAATGAAATAATGTGGCAACTTAAATTGGGTGCATTTTGGGAAACTCATTTATACACCTATACATTATTCCATGTATTCCTCCAAAAATTGTATTAGGAATGTATACTATATACATTTCAGCTTACATTATCCATCAAAGTGATGCTACATCCTATGAGTGTACCACACATCTGCCAGTCCTCCCTGTAATGTAACAGAACA